GATGGAGTAGACTTCAGTAAACCCTTTTAACCTAGTTCAAGATTTGACACTATAAGAGTCTTATTAGCTATAGACACACACAAAAAAAAAAAAAAAAAAAAAAAAAAAAAAAAAAAAAAAAAAAAAAAATTGATGTATACACTACATGACTTCCTTGTACGGAATATTAAATTATACGCAATTTTCCTGCATTTCACTAAACATATTGAATTAATAGTTAACGAATTTTGAATTAAATCTACTTCGTCAAAGCGCATAAACCACAATAGAATAAACTCACTCTTTGAATTTCATTATAATTATATAACATAGCGTCACTTCGGCGCTAGGTTCGCTTAACAGCGTTACATCTCGTTCATTATATAACTCAGGGTGAACAAAAATTATATAATCTGAGGAATTACCACATATTCTATTCAAATATTATACTAAATCTAAAACGATTTATAAAAGAAATTTATTAAAAAAAAAGAAATAATTTTTCACAGACGATTCAGCACCACTTACCTAATAGGCATGCGCTACTAATTAATTCAATTCTCGCTTCATGGCAAGGCAAAATTACAAAAATTTCAAAATATATTCAATAAAAATTAAAAGATATAGAAAAACATAAAACACCAAGTACAGTTAAAACAATTAAAAAAAACAATTTTTACAATTAAAATTACAGTTTGAACGCTAAAACAAGCTAATAACTTAAATGATAATATCAGAATGAATTAAGCATAATTTAATTCACAATAATAAAAGAAGACGTTACTTTGTTTTGCAAAGCTTAGTTCCTCTAGAGTGACAACAAATCCACTATTCTGCTAAGTTTCAAATGTAAACAAACATGGCAGCAATGGTAACCAAAAATTAGGCTTATCCACACTGAAAAAACTTTAAAATTTTTGATAATTCCACAATTATTGCATGCAGGTTAACTAAAGGCATAAAAATCTTGACAGGAAGATAAGAATAACACAATTCAATCCTTTTTAAAGTAAAAAATGCACAATTTACAAACATATAAGATTAAAGAAACTGAGTTCATTATACATTTGGTGCGGCCGATTGCAACCAAAATGGGAGGCGCACATCTTCATATTATAGCAGTCCTATATACAAAATTTCAACTTTCTGAAGCTATTCGTTTTTGAGTTTGCGAGATACGTACGTACGTACCGACGCCATGAAAAAATCTCGGCTAATCAATATCTGTATGTTGGAACAAGATATTTTTTGAATTCATAATTAGTTTTAGATTTAAGCCTCTTATTCACGTGTCTTTATTGGTATCTTTGGGAATAAGAAAATATTTTAAATTCTATATGTGGATTCTATATGTGGATCCTTATTGTTTTTTCAGTGCGGAATATGGTAACAGGTAGTTTGGCGACATTTCGGTTAGGCGATAAAGGTTACTAGCTAGGACTTTAGCAGTGTACATGGATAAAGTCAAGAGTGTGCGCAATGCCATTTTTGTACAATTCTGGGATTTTTTTTAAGTGAAAATAGGTCGACGTGTACATGGATAACATGCATGTGCAATTCTTAAAAACGCGGCAAGCAGTGAGCGATTCTGCACTTTCTCCCAATTTCGCAAGTAATCTTCGTCATGATTAAGCACACTTTTGTTCCATAAAAGTTCTAGCATAAGCGTAATTCGGCTAGCAGATTGTTGGAAAAAATTGTTGATTTAAAAAAAAAAAAAAAAAAAAAAAAAAAAAAAAAAATAGGAGGTTGCTGTAGCAGGGTTGGTCCCAAATTTTCGCCAAAAAATCGCCAAGTTACTATAATGCGAAGATTAACCAAAATCTCTTCAGAATTCATTTTAAATCAGTTTTATAATTTTGGAGGATGAAAAAGTCCTTCATTATCTGTCCTTAAGTACAGATGTCACGCAAACACATCCTTAAATTGCATTCGATAGCGATGAAAATGGATATTTTCGTTGAAATATGAGACCCGAAAATTTTCGCGATTACAAGCATTTCCTTCCTTTTTACTTCGTACAAGGAAGTAAAAATGAAAACCATTCAAACTGACATAAAAATGAATTTCTATACGGTGAAATTGATGAAACAATATTCACTGAACCTCTTCTCTTAAACTATGCAAAAACTTTAGCCTGTCAGCTCAAGAAATCCCTGTATGGATTGAGACAGACATCTGTATGTTGGAACAAGATATTTTTTGAATTCATAACTAGTTTTAGATTTAAGCCTCTTATTCACGTGTCTTTATTGGTATCTTTGGGAATAAGAAAATATTTTAAATTCTATATGTGGATTCTATATGTGGATCCTTATTGTTTTCTTAAGAACACAAAATATTATTTGAAATTTTGGATGATCTTTGGGAGAAGTCTGAAGCAGCGATTTGTTAAAAAGGATGTTTTCTTGGAATGCAAATTCATTACAAAGCAAATTTTTATACATTCAGAAAGCTATATAAAGACTATTCTTAATTGATTTCACTTAGAAAATGCAAGTCCTAATACTGTACCTGCAGATCCTGGTACAATCTTATCATCAGATCAATAATCAGTCATCATTAAAATCCAATCCATTACGAGAAGGAAAAACAGTTCTTTACAGAGAAGCTGTTCAATCACTAATGCTCTTTGCTATTACACTTTCAAATACAGCTTTGGCTATAAATATGGTTAGTAGATTTCAAGCCAATCCTGGCCAAGTGCATTAGAATGCTGTAGAACGCATTTTTAAATACCTGAAAATTACAGCAAGCTATCCCATCAATTATTCTCCAGTAGTTAACGATACTTGCCATTTTGTTGGGTACTTAAATGCAGATTTTGTTAACAATGTGGACGCTAGAAAATCAACTTCTGGTTATGTTTACAAACTTAGCAATGGTCCAGTTGCAGCTTCAACTGCAGTGAAAGAAGTTTTGTGGTTACACCAACTTCTGCAGATGTGGGTGAAAGTGAAATGTGTAAGGAGAGTATTGTAATCTTCACGGATAACCAGAGTGCTATTAAGGTGCTCAAAAACCCTGTGATTCACAAACACAAAAAATGTACTGATGTGCGCTACCATTTTACTCGTGCAAAGTGTGAAGACATATCTGTCATTATAAAGTGTGTCAAATCTGAAGATCATTTATCAGATATCTTCACGAAAGCTCTTCCGAAAGCAAAATTTAAAAAGTTAAGAGGACTGCTCAGCATAAAGGTAAGACACTCATGTGAACATTTATCATAACACATTTGCATTTAACATTTTTTAAATTTTAATTTAAGTACTGCTTTTCATTTTGTAATTACTTTAGTTTTTCTTACTATATTATTCATCATACTTTTGTTAATTTTAGCGACAACAGAATTGAAGGAAGTATTAACTCCATAATTCCGTAGTCACATTTTCTTTGTACTTTTTGACAACATTATTATATTCTGTGATTGTGTTTCAGTGGCGTATGTAGCCTGTTGTTACTTTTGTTCAGCTTTTAATTTAAATAAATATATTTAAACCGTATATGCATAGAAGATATAAAAAAATTCCAAGATTTGTTCTCAGAGAAAATCCTGCCTTTCTGTTTCGCAAAATGTCTCTTTTCAGCTGACGGGTGATAAGTCAAATCGAAGAGAGGGTCCCATTCTTAGCTTAATATATATATATAATATATATATATATATATATATAAAGTGATTTTATCTTGATTTTTAGATGTTGCTAGTTCATTGTCATTGCTTCCGAAGTGTGCTTTCAAGTCCTCTTATTCTGAGATTTTTCACGTAGAGTATATATTTTGAACCTGAAATTAAACGTTTGTCTTTGTTTACGAAGATTTATCCATATCTTCTTCAGCAATACTAGAACTGCTTTTATTTATTTATTAGTCCAAAGGGATTTGAATCCCGAAGGACTATTAGTTTCGTTTTGGCATTTTGCGTCGGACGGATAAATGTGGGTTCACTTTTCAAACTGTTGCCATAAAATGTTAGAGTCCTGCATTATATTTGAAGAAATTAAATAATGAAAATCTGCGTAAATGTATGTATATTTCTCACATTGTCATAAAATAACGGTACATAGAGTCATCGAATTTTGAATAACGTAATCCTCCAACGAATATGAGCATGTGGAAGACCAAATTTGAAGTTTGAAATTTGTTTATGATCGATTTCCTATTTTTTAAAACTTTGACGATTTTTGATTAACAAACTCAAGGATTTCAAAGCGAGCAATGGCAACGTTGTGCAGAAAAAACATTTTTATCTCCAGCGCGTGAGTCTCTGTATCGGAAATTCTAAAGATATGCTCGTTTTAAAACTATTTTGTGATATTGCTGTTGCAACTGGATCTTATGGTTTAAGTGCGAGGAACATGATATTTAACAAAGAAAGGTAACACACAAAATGTTAAAAAAAACCGCCCCTTTGGACGTAATTTAAAATCTGAAACATTTCAGATTTTTATTATTATTATTATTATTATATTATTATTATTTTATTATTATTATTATTATTATTATTTTACAAAACAGCCGTTCGTCTGCCTTACAAGCAGACGAAAGGCTGAAGCCACGCAAACTGGAAACTCATCTCATTCAAATTGATATTTTGTAATCACTACATATTTAGTTGATTGCAATTTACATAATAATTTTGCAACTTTTTCTTAATATCGGACTTATCCTTGTCCGCGAGTAAATTGATTCCGAGAATAAGAGAAATTTTAAAAATTATTAATTAAAAATTATTGATTCAAAAAAAAGCACGGAGCCCTAAAAGGAAAGATTTTTTACTCATAGAATCAAATTATTTACAAAATGCAATATATAAGAGGCAATATATAAGAGAATATAACTGAAGAAAATAATCGAAGAACTATAAACCCACAAACGATTTCTAAACTTTCTTGAGAGTACATTGCAATTATAGTACAATGTCAGAATTTAGTGTGTTGCTATAGCAACAAGTATTGATCATTCGGAACATAAGAAGTGGGAAACTTTTATTAGTCACTCATCTCAAGGCAGATAATATCGCTAAGATAGCTGCGCTATAGACTTTTTTTTGATTTCAATATAAAAAAAAAAAGGAAAATGATTCACTCGGCTTCTCGAAAGCCTTTAATGGTAAAACTCGGTTTGCAGATTGATCAGCTTGATTATAAATACATTGAAACTTGTTGTGATAGCAAACAACTTGAAAAGATATTGCAAGTTCTAGAGTAAGTTCTATTGAAATCTTATTCTACTAATTGATACATAAAATTGAAATTCAATATCCTACACATGGTAATTAAGGGTTAGAATTATTTACTTTAATTTCTTGTGCACATAGAAAAGAATAATTACAAGATAACCGCAGGTTTCAGTTTTTTTTTTTTTTTTTTTTTTTTTTTTTTGTAAAATATTTTAACCAATTTTCAAAATCCTCAATTTGTATATTTGCATGTTTATGTAAAATCATGAAATCGGGGAAAAGATAAAGAAATAGTGCTAGATTATTTTGTACAGAAAACAGTATTTAAAAATTATTCACTGAATATTTGACAAATTGTAATTTACTTTTTCTTTTCCATCTTGTAATAAACAAGAGAAATAGTTATGCCGTAGGGGAAAGCAGAATTCTAGTTTAATGTTTATAGGCAGATTTCGCTAAAAATGACTCTTGTTTTTGCAAAGACCAATTTATGTTACGAACTATCGCGTTAGTCCTAACAGTTTAATGGCCTTTTTAATTTCTTTCTCATTTAGGCAATTCGATTTTATGAAAATTTTTTGCTGTCCTTGGAATTCGTAGGTCCACTATATGTTTAATACAAGAAAGGTGAATAACTCGGATCACTATTATAGTTTTTGTTCAAGTATAAACTAAGATTGTATAATAATTCCAAAATTTGTATTATATTTCTGATTATCGGGCTAAATTAATTAGTTTTCAATTAAGATTTATTTATTTATTTATTTATTTTTATGAAATGAAACTAAAATGCTTTGCCTGTATCACTAGGTAAGTAAAAGGCTAGAAATAAGATATAAAAAATTAATGCATTGCATGCTATGCGAGTTATTTTATTCTTTTAATTAAGTAAAAATATAGTTTTATAGTTCAGTCAACCCATCTGCCTTTTTACGCCCAAGCTGAATCTTTATTCTCAAATTTATTATCTCGAAAGCAAACTAAGTACTGGAAGAGGCTTCAGAAATGTCCTTCGTTAATTATGCCAACGGTATGTTATTAAAACTTGTTAATATATATAACAAAATTTTTAAGAGACACTTGCTGTTTTTAGATGGTTCTATTTGTTTCATTGTTGATAAACAAGATAGCGATGTGATTCAACAGATAAATTTAAAATCTTACGATCAAGCCATGTCCGCCCGATGATTAGATCAACTGGCTGTGCATTATCAGGAACAAGGTATATATTTCCTTGGCCTTTTACATTATCAACTTCAATATCAGCTTTAATCATTCCTATAGAGGTCACTGCTGGCACCCTTTGATTTCCAAAACCATAAAATTCATTCATAGCAGGTTCGGGTTTCACTTTAAGTTCTGAGCAACTGAAGTCCTTAAGAGACAACAAGAACTCCCCGTATGAATTAAAGCCTGTACTTCTTCAGAATTATTCAGTTCGCTTTCTTAAAATATGAATTGTTCACTTCTAAATTTTCGCCAACTTGCTCAACAGAATAATTTTTATCATTTGAATGATTATTTTCAGCTTTAGGAACACAATTTTTAGATTTATGGCCTGTTTTGTTACATTTTCGGCATGTTACTACTGGTTTGGGCAGATAACAGTCCCTTGAAATGTGTCCAAAATTATCACAGCTAAAGCATTTTGGTTCACCTTTTTCATTATGTGTGATACCATAGAGTTTTTTATTTTCGTTGATTGTAGCAACTGGACCATCTTTAAAGGAGTTTCGTTTGTCATAAGACCCTTCTTTACGCGGTTGTTTATTGTTGAAAGTTGACTTCAAGGTATCATAATCATCTAATTTTTCAACTAAATCAATTGGTGAAATCAACTCAGATCAGATCAGACGTCAATAAAATGATCTTCTACTTCTAGAGACACTTTTAAGTTTTATCTGATCCGCTACAATAAGGTCGCTAAGTTTCTCAAAAGTATCTACTTTAATTCCGCTTATCCATTGATTAAAAAAATTTCTTAACTCATACGCAAAATTCTTTTACCATGTGTTTCCTACACTCTTATTGTGCGTAAAAAAATTTGGGCGAAATTTTTCAGGTGTCATCTTGTACCGTTTTAATAAGATCCTTTTAACTTCTTTATAATCGTTTGCAATCCCATCCGTTTCTCTGGCGATTAACTGAGCAACATCATACGGCAATAAGTCAAGCAATTGAATAACCCATGTATTTTCTTGTCTTTCAACTTGTTTAGCCAAACTTTCAAACATGATTAAATATAAACTGATATCATTCTCGTCAGGTTTAAATTTTTGCATCAAACGATGAAGCTCTAACTTTGGATTCATGTGCATACCATTTTCATTGGTGCCAGAATTTGCAGATCTACTTTCTGCTTCAATACGTAATTTTTGCAATTCAAATTCCATTTCATACTTTCCTTTTCGTTCCTCATATTCTTCTTTTCGCCTACGTTCTTCAATTTCTTCTTGACGTTTTCGTTCTTCAATTTCTTCTTGACGTTTCTGTTCTTCAATTTCTTCATTTTCTTTTCTTTCATTTATTATAATGTTCATCCATTCTTTGGCGCATTCTTCATCGTACTCTTTGCTAGCCAAAATTATCTTTTTCAAATCGCTCGTTTTATGACTCTCGTTTACATCTTCTCCAATTCTTCAGCTAATATTCTTAAATCGCATTTCTTTGCCTTACCGAAAAAAGACATTTTCGTACTTATCAAAATGCAAATATATATATGCTATTATTATTAACTTCCAATTAGATAACTTAGTAGAACACAGTTATTGGTGTTTTATAAGTTTGTTTGATGTTCCGAATATATTTCAAAGTTTAAATAAATGAAAAAAAAATTAAACTCTTTTTCCAAAATAATTAAAAAATAACAAAATTAATTTTTTAATAAATATATTACATCAATCAATGCACATAATTTAAAATTCAAATTTTCAACATCTTATTTACGTGTAGCAAATACTTGTAGCTTTAGGCTTAGGTTTCAGAATAATACCACGTCTGATTTATGTCAGCTTCCTTTTGTAGTTAAATTAATCACTCATAAACGATTACCAAAAAAAAAAAATTTCAAGATAAATCGCACTCGTTACTTAATAACCTATACGTAACGTATTCGTAAACGTACATAACATAACAGACGTTCTTACTGCATCGTGCCAATATGCATTTCAAGCGTACATCATCTGAATATATTTTAAAAATTATAAATAGAACGACATCCAGAGATTAGTTGTTGCCATTTCTCAATAGATATTTTGTCTAATAACAATAAATAATTTACAATCGGGCTTACAGAAGTTGGGCGAATTTCGGCCAAAAGTTCGTGAAACCTCTGATAAGAACAAAATGAATTCAGCGCGGAAGCCGCAGTCAAAGAATTTGCCTCCACTGACTAAAAAAAAAAAAAAAAAAAAAAAAAAAAAAAAAAAAATCTAGAAAGATAGAAGTATGGCCATCAAAATCCCACTCAGATGCTAGCACTCCAGCTAAATTGGATTTCGCGATGGACCAAAAACTTACAGTTGATTGCTGCCAAGTTCCTTGAATTTGTGGAAAAATGTAAAAAAGTAGAATCTCTGAAAGGAAAAAGTTTTACTTGCCCTGGGAATGGTCGAACAGATGATAAAAATGGATTTATAAATTTCTCCTATCTTCGCTGTATGATGAACTTGAAATTAGCTTTGCTTACTTTCTACTGTGCTCCGGACTCAGGTGTTGGCGCCGCCCTCCGGACTTTGCGTTCCTGCTCTTGTTAGTAGTCACGCCTAATCCTCATGACTGACCTCTCTCTACACCTCCCATGCTTTCGGCTCCTTCCTCTGCAGATCATGATTCTTTCCTCTGGAAATCACTCGTCCGGCATTTCTAAAGTCATGTGCCTCTTAGGTTATCGAGCCGAACACGTTGCGCTTTGCGCGATATTCCGGCGATAACTGTGCGGATGTGGATGATAAATTCGAAATAAAATAAAGTATAAGCAAAATGAATAAAATCTATTGCAATCTGAAAACTTCAGGTTCCGAAAGAGAAGTTAGTATTTCTAATAGCAAAGAATCAGAAAAAAAAAAGTTTGTAATGTTCCAACCTAGAATTTACAGCTAAATGTGTGGAGCCTTAAGAACCGGTAAGCGAATAATCGGCTGTAGTTCAGGAGACAGAAACTCAAGAAGGGTTGATTACCCTTTATTGCTCAAAATAAAGTTCACAGTAGATCCTCTCTCAAGGACGTACAGAAAAGCCTCTACTTGAGATTGAACTCAAGAATACTAGGAAATAAACTTAACTAAACTTAAAAGACATAGCCGAAGATAACAAAATTCTACAGAAATTGGCCCCTTAAACGCTAACGAAACGGCGAAGCTATCAAGGGCCTGAAATACGGCTGAGCGTACGACTTACAGAGAGTATAGCCAAAAAGACGAACGTGCGTTTGTCAGAATCTCTGGCTCTCTAATGAAGTCAGTGGAACTTCGACTTTGAATTATTCTTCCTTCATTTGCATTTAACCGCGATTCTAAAAGCACATTCTGGCATGAAATTTGTCAGCTGAAATTAGAAGCGACAGGAAAGTGGCTTTAACTCAAATTTAACTGTTTAAAACTTAGAATAAACCTTATACGAGTTTAAAAATGGAAAGCATAAATTAAAAGGAATATATTTTTAACATTACACATGGCACTATAAACATTTTTCTATTAAGTGCAGCAAAACTGCAAATGTTCATAAACGTTATTAGTTATATTAAATATATTTTAATTTGTATCAATTAAGCGCCTTATAATTTACATCAGTCAGATTCATCTTGAAAAAAAAGAAAAAAATGATAATTCGAAAACGTTTTATTGTGTTTAAATCTCTTCGTTTGTAAACCAATAACAGATTTGATAACAGATTTACAAATGATAAAAAAAAAAAAAAAAAAAAAAAGATTTAATTGATTTTGAAACAAATAACATATTTAATTTGAAAAAAAGACCTTATGCTTTACTAATAGGTGATATTTTAGAGCGCTAGGCTTTTTCTTGC